GGAGTTGCATCCAGCCTATTTCTGTACTTGCTTTTGGTGTAAGCGTTAGCTGAAAAATCAGTCTCTTGAAGTCCAACCCAAAAATCGTCAAATAAATAAAACAGAAAAGTTTATTAGTTGATTTACAAAAACTTATCCATAATATGACACTATCTTTTCGAAAAAATACTTTTTTTGATACAAATGGAAAATCAGAATCATTTGTAGCTTGAAACAGGTGCAATTTTAAAAATAATGACATATATATGACCAAGTTTGGTTTCTTAAAAACTCAATGACATTATTAAATTCACTATGTTCATTACCATGATCTACTACAATAATTTAAAAAACACCAATATTAGTCATTTTATTTTTTATGCATAGCCACACTAATCAAAACTATTTTCTAATTAAATGAAATGTGATAATTATGAAATTATATTATATAATAGAATATGCTTATTCATTATGTATAACTATTATGCAGAATGTTGGTCATAATTTTCTTTACAGAAATCATTATTACTACAAAAATTAGTAATGTATTACAAGATTACTACTACTATGCTACTATGTTAATAGTTACCTTGATACATTCTCAAAATATTGACAATATTATACAACTATTATATTTAAGAAGTGCTTTAGTTTATAATTCATTGAAGCAAATTAATTAAATTTTACACATTTCTTATTGACTTCCAATAACTGTTTTTTTCTGGACCCGATTGTTTCACCGCCGGAATACTCGCTGTTGGGCTATTCACTGCGATGAGAACCTCCCCACGAAATATTATTATTAACAATTATATATTTATCATTAAAGATTGATAAATAACAATATTAAGATTATGATATTTATTGAAACCTCATCACCCGACTATTTGCATGCGTCCATCCCTGATTGACACTCTTTGAGTTGTGGAACATACATTTTGATATAAAATTTGATAAAAAATTAATAACTTCTATAATAACTCCTACAGTATTTTGTATTTTTGTCACTGCATTCAAATCATTTACAACCAGATTAATTCTATGCGAAGCACAGTGAAAAAATGTTGCTTTAGAATATTTATCACAAATTATTTTCTGAACTCTATTTTCCTTTCCAGTCATTACTGAACATCTGTCAAAACCCAAGCCAACAAGTTAATTCATATCCCAACCGTATTTTTCAACAGAAATCAAAATAGAAGTACCTATACCAACTGCATCTAATGTTTATTGTACACTAAATCCTATGAATTTTTTTCTTATAGTTTTTAAACTATCAACATAACGAACACCAATCGAAAGTTGTTCAATGCCAGCAATATCGGAAGTTTCGTCAGCTAACAGTGAAAAACTCAAGCTATTATTTACTTTTCGAACAATTTGATCACATAATACATTTCCATATAATAAAATTAATTAACTTTGAATGCAAAGTGAGGTATATTTAGCTTTACTATGACATGTTGATAAATGCTCAGACAGAACACTATCTCCAGATTCAACACGAAATTTAAAAGATTATGAAAATTTCGCATATATCGCACAAAATATTATTGATGACAAAATCGGGACTAGCTTTTTTTTTTTTATTTTGTTCAATTTGTGAGTGTTGAGCAGTATTTAATTGATCTATAACACTTTTTTCTTTGTTGGATATAATTTTAAAAAAATCTGTTGATTGAGAAACCGAATCTCTATGCCATTCAGATAGTATATGTTTTTTTGCGTGAAAATGAAAATCTTTATAATTGGTAAATTCACTAACAATTAATGTTCCTAATGATCCTCTTTTAACGACAGGATGAAAAACAATGCTTCCATAAGCCGTCTTTTAAACGTCTAGAATAAACTAACCATCGATATTGTTTAAGCCATTCTATTTTAAAATTCCTTTTTTGTGCAATACTGTCATTTTTAAAATCACAACTATCAGAAGGAACATATGATTTTGTAAGTAATTTATATTTAAGTTCATCTGATAAATTTGATTCATTAATATAAAATCCTAAATGTGGATATGACTCACAATCATTTGGCGTATAATTAATAGTTAATGTAGGTACCCTATTTATTGACGTAGAACATTCCGGGTTTGAATTTACTTGAGCAGAAACACTTGTATTTTTCGATGTGTGTAGCTCAAGCACAGCAGATGCATTATCTTCATCAGATTTTTTTTTTAATTAAAACGATCGAATATTTATAGTAAAAATTGAAAATTTTAAAAAATAATATTGAATAATCACTAATGTAATGAGCACATAGTAATGAGCACTAAAATATAATGTCACACAGAAAGTGGACGACTAAAATTCAGTCAGTTTTGTCTGATAAAATAATTAAATTAAATTAAATAAATTAAATAATTTTACGTATAGGTATCTATACGGAATACAAACTAGTAGTTGAAACTACGACTTATCTATGATGTTAATATATGATAACAATGAGTATATTTTTATACTTATTTCATATATTAAAAGTGATATCAACAAATAATTTGCCTCGGTAATAAAGTAATATTATGGTAATATTTATTGAGATACAAGTTCATAATATTTTTTCAGGGAGGGAGGGCCTTGTCTTGCTCCCCCCCCAATGGGCGCCCATGAGCAACATTGCACTAAATTTGGGTAGGTAAAACGTACGCAATCATAATACATATTCAAATTAATTTTAAATAAATTCAAATTAATCACAAGGTCAACAACATTAATGTATTACAATTGCTTTAGCACTTTATTTTTAACCGTAACAAAACTAAACACTCTTCGTCTAATACAGTGGTTCTCAACCTTTTTTAAGCAGCGATCCGTTTAGAAACAACATTTTTTCAACTCCTCATAAAAATAAAAAATTAAATGAATTGCTTGAAAATAATATTTTAAAGATATTTTACTGAAAACAATTACAGATAATCAAACGCATGTCGACCTATTTTGATGGGTATTTATATAATTTACTTCAGGTTTAATTTATTGATAAATAGGTGAAACTATATTATTTAAAAATTATTACGATAAAAAAAGTCATGGCATGAATCTCAGCAAAATATATGTGTTTCAATTTTTACTTTTTTTCAGTTTTAAGTCCTAATGTAAATATTTTTGCTAAATATTTTACAATTATTTAATATTAGTAAATATTATGCTAAACACTATCCTACCACCCAAGACATGCATAGTTCCCCCTACCACCCAACACATGTTCATCGTCCCTCGTAACTTCTCAATTGCCGGCAAGTGGGCGATATCGCACTGATAATAACTAATACGTAGTTCGTAAATGGGTGCGTCAATGACGGCATGATTCATGTATATCGTAAGCACGCACGTACAACGTCCGTCCACTTTACTGCCACTCGTCGCATAAACATAAAGTTAGACTTAGTATTTACGCATTTTTAGACTCACCTCATACGTTATCGTCTATAAAAAAACCGAATGCGTGCATGCCCATTCAGACGTGTCGTTTAATACCACCGCTGTCGAATCGGCTTTTCCCTATATCTTCTTGTACTGGTCCTGTCGCATAACAGTACTTAGACGTAACTATTCCTGCCGCTCTCGCGTTACCTCTGCACGTGTTTCGCGCGCGATCGTTTCAACGATGGACGACGTCGCGAACGATCGGTCTGCCACCATCGCGGCTAACTGGTTGTTGGACCCGGTGTTCGGTTGGACAGTGGTGGCCGCGGTAGTCGTCTTCGTGCTCTTGTACCGTTTCTCCACGTCCGGCCACGACCGTTGGCGAATCGCGAACGTGCCGCACGATCGGCCGATGCCGCTGTTCGGCAACGCGTTCCGCATATTAACGGGGATCGAATCCCCACAAGAATTCTTCGACCGCGCGTACAAGCGGTTCGCCGGCGAAAAGGTGTGCGGCATGTACCAAATGACTACGCCGCTCCTATTAGCCCGCGACCCTGAACTGATCAGTCGCATCACCGTCCGTGACTTCGGACACTTCAACAGTCGCGGGATGAACACTAGCCCGGAGAACAACGTGCTGGCTGGTAGCCTGTTTTTCCTGAAAGGCGACCGATGGAAGACAATGCGCCAGAAGCTCAGCCCGGGGTTCACAACGAACCGGCTAAAGGACGCGCAAGACCGGATCGTCGAGTGCGTGGACCGGTTGACCATGACCATCGACCAGCAGATGTCTGTGTCTGACGGCGAAGGGATAGAGTTCAAGAAGTTGACCGCCAATTTCTCTACTAACGTCATAGCCACGTGCGCGTTTGGCCTTAAGCTGGACCAGACCTCGGAGTTCATAAAATACGGTAACAAGATGTTTCAGTCACGCATCCGGCAAATAGTCGTTCAAATGCTGATCATGTTGTGCCCGAGACTGGTGCAGTTCTTTGGGCTGAAACAGTTTCCGGAGGACTCGATCAACTTCTACCGTGCGGTTTTTACCGACCTTATCAGGTACAGACACGAGAATAATGTGGTCGGAAACGACGTGGCGCAGACTCTTATGCAAGCAAGGAAAGAATTGGTGCTTGACGGTGGTGACTTAACCGACAAAGGTATAGACGGACAAACGAACGTATAACGTGGTACCTTCTAAGCACTTTGTCCCTTCCAAAGTTATTTCGTTGACAAGGGGTCAAGTGCGAATCCGTGTACGACAATTTTCACAGAGATAATTGTTATTGTTAATTAATTTATAAATAATTTTACATGATACAAATAGTTACGCAATACAGTTTCGAGCATGTATTAAAGGATGATTTCTAAACATAAAATACCGCTCCTTTATAATTCAATATATAAACTTTAAAATCGGGAAACAAATTATTTGCAAACCATACAAATATGATACATAATATGTGGTTAGGTCCTTATAAAACTTCCCTATACCACTGTAACGCATTATAGACGGTTTTGTTTCGACTATCGTATATTTTTGCTCCACGTTTTAATTATACGCTACCCCAAAACTGTAAAAGTTCGTTTTACAAAACAATTGATTTTCGAGTGTTCAAAATATTGTAAATCGTTATGATTACACGTTTTGCAGCCAAGTTCACAGAATTGGACATTGTCTCAAACGCAATCCTACTGTTTGTGGCCGGCTCCGAAATCGTGTCAATCACAATAAGTTTTATGCTGTATGAATTAGCACTGAATAAGGACGTTCAGAATAAAGTACGTGAGGAAATTATCACAGTTATTAAGAAAAATGGTGGACAGTTAAGCTACAACTGTATTGCTGATCTTCATTACCTGAATAAGGTTTCGGAAGGTAATTCATTTTATAATAGTATATAATTACAGCGTTACTTGTATGTATACATATATATATATATGTGAATGTGGGCGACATACTTAATATTGACATCATATTTTTGTGTTTTTTTTATATATTATACTCACTAAAGGTTATTGGATAACTTTATGTCCTAATTTCTATTCAGCCATCAGAAAATAATCATGTATCGCTGATATTTATTTTATATAGAAGTTAATAGAATCAAAATACACTATTTACTATATTACAATAACATAAGCGACCAACACGTAAAATCGGCAAGATGATTGATAATACTAAAGCCTTTCATAAGAATATTTTTAATCTTACAGTATATATATTATAATAGTTTACATATACATCAGACTGCAGCCCTCATTTTGATTAAAAAAATTAATTATTGCGTTTCAGAGGTTTCCCGTTTGTACTCGATCACGTTAATGTTGTTCAGAGAAGCGACGGAAGATTATAAAGTACCCGATATGTCATTGGTTATCAGAAAAGGAGAAAAGATTGTTATACCGACATACAGCATTCACCACGACCCGAAATATTATCCCGATCCTTTCAAATTCGATCCAGAGAGATTCTCCGAGGAAGAAAAATCTAAACGACCAAACGGCACTTACCTGCCGTTTGGCAACGGGCCTCGGTTGTGCCTAGGTAACAGTTTTTAAAATTTAAACACTTGAAACCCCTTGAAAACACGTTGTTCATAACGATGTATGTAATAGGATTTTTTTTCAGTTGTTTACCTAAACTGTTTTGATATTCCTTCGCTCCTACCTGTTCATCATTTAACTACTATTGATTAGAAATTTACTTAAACATACTACCACAGAATTAATGAAATCAGAATAGTCACTTCTAAGTGTAAACAAAATTCAGCCACCATATTTTTGGAGTACTAATTACTTATCACACTAAAAGGGATAACTAGAGAACGGATTTATATGTAAATGCATATTTTTATTAAAACGAGATATTTAAGATTCGATAAGAAATGTTTATGATTTAAATTATTCCTATTAAAATTATGATACTTTTATTTTACATATTTTGGCATAATTACATATTTTTACATATTTCACTAATTTTTAAATATTTTTATCATTTCATCATTCATACGTCTTCTTCGTACGAAAATACAAGAAATTATTTCAAAATTAGATCCAGAAACTTTTATCGCTATTGGAAAAGCTCAAAATATTATGCAAAATGAAATACACCATGCAATTATACACATTTATTAAAAAGTTAATTAAAATATTTAAAATATTAAAAAATTTGAAAAAAAACTATCCTATATTTTAAGTTGGACCAAATTACACACGGTGTAAAAAATTTCAGCAAAATCGGTCCAGTAGTTTCGGAGATTATCGCGAACATACATCGTGACACGAAATTTTTATATATACAGATTTGTAAAAATGTATGACAAAAATGACAGAATATGGGGTTTTGAAACACAAATATACACGAGCACAAATTTCTCTATGTAAAGAAAAATTTCTAGAGCTAGATGAAGCCATGAAAAAAATTAGACAGGGAAATAACATTAAGAGAAGCAGCAGGACAAGGAATAGCTGGTCATCAAGGATTTAATCGATGCAACTGCAAAACTGGTTGTGGTACTAAAAAATGTGCTTACAATGCAGTGGAAATGTTGTGCAGTTCAAAATTTCATAGTAACCAAAATTGTACAAATAAATAATTTGTAATATGCGCGTATTTTATTATTTTATTATTTTTTTATTTTAACAATAAATCATTTTTATAAATAGTACCTATAGTAAAAAAATCAGTGTATTATTTGTGATTTATCATCATTTACCACCAGTTTTGGTAAATGACATCAATGACCGGTGAAAGATGTACATTTGAATTTAAAATCTGGTTTTTTACATCATTTACCTACATAATCGAATCATTTTGGTAAAAGACGTCATTCACCGGAGAATGATGACATTCACCAATATTCATCTTTTACCGTAACATATACATATGATATCTATATATGAGATATATTTACTACATTATTTACTTGTACACTCATTTTTATAACTCAAAATTAATATTCATGTGTTCAGCCCTAATTGTATATACTTTTTTAATTTATGCTTATTCCCTCAATCAGGAAAAGTTCCAATGATCCTTTTCAACAATCCAAACGAAACGATTTTTCACCCTTGTTATAGTATACATTTTGCAATGACTCCATGTAATACGCTAAAGTTTTGCCACAGAACAGATAGCGATTTTCATTGGTGTTCAAATGTATTGACCATAAGAAAACTGAATGAACTTTTGACACTATAATGCGTACATATTTAACACGTTAAATTAATAAATTTGAGAGGCTAATTTCACACACGATTGTCTAATCGATTTGTATGTCACTTGTTTATGTGTTTTAGGAAAACGATTAGCCGAGTTGGAATTGAAACTGGCCGTATCAATAATCCTACAAAAATACGAAGTTATGCCTTGCAAAAAAACCGAAATCCCTATACAAGTAAAAGCTCCGACTGGATTTCTTTCTCCAAAAAATGATCTTTGGTTGTGTTTCAAACCAATCGCAGTTCACAACGACAATTAACGAGTTGACCAGACGATACATTTTATTATTATATAATATTATTATAAAAACATTTTTAAATATTTTAATTTTTATCAAATTATATTTCTTACATTATTTGCTTTTAAATAAATTAGTGTAAACAAATAAGCAATAAAATTATATTTTTTTATGATTTTTATTTATAACATATTTGAAAATTGAAAACATGTACCTATTTGTTTTCTTAATTCCTTCTAGCGTTGGCCACGAAGCAATGCGAGAAACAGTTTCGGGGCCGTCGTCGGTTTAAAAACGGAAAAAAAAAAAAATTCCTTCTAGCATAAATATCGCGTTAGATTTGGGATGCATTAAAATTATTTAGCAGAAAGTTATTATCAGAAATATAAATCTTCAGTTAGTTATAACTAGGACTCGGAATTTAATGTTCTTAATAATATAAAATTTAGCATTTTTACAACCATAGATAATAAAGACTTATTAGTATCTACTCATATGTTGACAACATAGTTTCTTATAAATGATTTCTATACTTAACCGAGTATAATAATAATTCAGTGGCATACGCAGGGGGTGGACTAACGGGCTGAAGCCCCCCTCCCTATTGACGTATTATTATTTTTTTTTGTGAGCAAATAATATGGTGTATTCATATAAATATTAAATATACTACACTTAGGTCGTAATAATTTAATTTCCCATCGTTAGTATTAAGTAGCTACACATATTAATTTAATATCTATTTTAGTAACACACTACTCAGTTGTGTTGCTCATCGGCATTCCTCCCACACTCTCCGGCTTTGTCATGTTCAGTCCTGTATATTTTTATGCAACTACTAAATCAAAGAAAAACTAGAAGGAAAAAAAACAAAGATATATAGACTATAGTCTACAATCTATATCGACGATATAAATTATAGCCTATATTATGGATTTAAAACAGGGTTCCCAAACTGCACCGCGGTGCCCTAAGGGCACCACAACCACTTTCTAAGGGCACCGTAATCTACGGTTCATAACAAATAGTTTAAAATGTGTAAGATTGTTTTTTCTTATTGTTTTCGTAAAAACTTTATAGAAAATAATGTAATATTTTCTATTATATAATCAATATAACTATCCTCATTTTAACCTTATAATATTTTTATATAATAATTATAATCATAATAACAATCATTTTTATTTATCTAATTTTTATGCTTAAAAATGCATTAATTTATTACTAAGTTAAATTTTATTAAAATTAATAAAATTGGTTATCAATAGATCTTAATTTGTTTCTGTCTTTAATGTTATTCAAAGCCAGGGCACCGTGGCTAAATTGGGTCCAAAAAAAGGCACCGCGGAAAAAAAAGTTTGGGAACCGCTGATTTAGAAGATATCTTCTAAGACCGTGGTCCAGTGGCGTACTGAATATAGGTCTAAATGATATAGATATGATATGATATAGGTCTAAGTTAAAAAGGGGTGGGTGGTTGTTGGATAATAATATGTATATAATATATGTATAATAATAATATGAATTTAAATATGGGTGGCTGGGTGGTAAACTAGACTTTGCAATTGGCATCAAAAACATTTTTATCTCGGCACGCCACTGCCACTGCCTATATCAATAACGAAAACTGATTAGAATCTAATCTGTGGTCTTACTACACTTGTCAGTTGCTGCCTTCTGGCAAGATAGTATTGTGTTATCCGTATAAAGATAATTCCCATAATGTTTATATAGCGAGTATGTACTATTAAATGTATATTGTACACTGTATTTTATTTATTCTGTACATTGTTAATTTTGGTTATATATCTACTATGGCCATATTTGATCTAATTTTTGATTTTATAAATCTTATATTCATGTGTACTTTGTCCATTTAAGTAAACTGTAAAGTATTATTATAACAGCAGTATAAAAGTATGTATGTATATTTAGCATTTAATTTAAATATTTATTTTCAAGTCCCCCCCCCCCAATTGAAAAATCTTGTGTACGCCACTCTAATAATTAATAATACAACATCGACTTTCCTATTTCGTTAATAATTAATAGTAAAATAAACATTGTACAATAATACACAAAAATACAAAAAATAATAATGCAATATACATAAATACCTAAAAATAATATGAAATGGTTATTAGTCAATATTTTCATTTTTCAAAACTATAAGTAAGTATGATTAAACTTGTCTTCACAATTAATATATCATTATATTTATCTATTAAAGATTTTTTGATAATATTTTATTACCTATCTGTTGAAATTTAGTATCATATATGATACTAAATATTAATAAATCATTTATAATATTAATAAATCATTACCAAATACTAAGTATATGATACACTTATCTTATTGTATCTCAGGGACGTATTTTAAGGGGGGTGGCAAAGGGGCGATCGTCCCTCCTGAAACCGTATTTAAGGAATTTATTATATTTGGGATACCTACACATTTCAAATTTTTTTAATATAGATAATTTTAAAACGAAATCAAATTACGCGTGGCTATAAATACTGAATTGGGCTTTTTATCGGATTCATATTTAGTAAAAAAATCAAATAAAACACAAACGTAATTTTCAAAACACAGGCAGGTGTTAAAAAATAACTACACAAAAGCGAATTCTAAGTGGATCTGGCATTAGAAAAAAAAACCACAAGTATTAAAGATTCACCTGATTTATGTAAATGTTACCAAAAATTTTACTTGTAAATTTTAAGCCTAAATTAAAGAAAAAATTGAGCCCCCCCCCCCAAGAAGTTAGTCTAAATACGCCCCTGTTGTATCCTAATGCTTAATATTTATACAGTTAACAATTAAGGACTATAAAATATGTTTGTGTTATTATTTATAATATAACAATACTAATCCACAACAAATTGTATACAATTGCTCAATATATTCACAATGAGCCACTATGTACAAGTCCATTTTATTGACTTATGATATTGGTCAAATATTGCATTTTAAAAAATAAAGATACTAGAATATCTAAATTTAGTTGGAGCTACTGACTTCCAATATTAGTCAACGCATGACAAAATATTTTATATTTCAAAAATTGTGCGGAAAAGTCCTGGCGCATGCGTGGTAAGCACTTGGAACATTGAGATTTGTCCCGGCGCAGATCCAATCATGTGCGCGTACCTTGTACCATTGATTATAGAATAGTTTTAAGAATAGAATATCTAAGATAGAATCTATTCTATAATCAATACTTGTACTTATCGTGTACCGGCACCGAACCTAATTACTGTAAAATCTTCTAGATAGCGCTGCCTTCGCTGTCTCAACGTTTAATGCATTTTCATTATTTTCTTGACATTCAGGCATTAAGGCATTAAAAAGAAATAATGCATTAAAATGTTGTTATTACATATTTGAGTAAAGTTCGATGTATTGTTGAAGTTGTATTACTTAAAATAATATGGTTTCTTGATTCTTTAGGACATTTCAAAATTAAAAATATATAATAATGTGATTTCATGATATTTTTATTGTATAATAATTTTTTATGCCCGAATGCAATTGGATTATAATTCAAGCAATTTCAAGTTAAGTTCAATATAATTTTTGAACCACATTATCATTGGTAATGAAAGTACTTAATCGGAATCCTAAACTATAAACCTCAAAGTTTTTATTACAATTTTGACAATTTATGTAATTATCTAAAATTTCAGTTGCAGTTGTAGATATAAAACACGAAACGTCTATAATTGTTGTGTATCATTAAAATATGATAAATTTTGTCCCTTACTCGAAACATTCGTCTTTGCAATAAGTATTCGGATAACCGTTGAGAAGCCTCATAGCGTATCTTAAAGGGATTTTACTTATTGTTTTCATCGAAGCAATTATAATGGGAAAGGGGAAAAAGTATAGTTAAACTTAACAAGTTCAATAAAAGAGTCAGTGAGTTTAACATAATTTAGAAATGATGAATACAATAGTGTTTTTATTAAATTTGTAATACCATTAACAGCTATAAACATGCTGTTTGGAGTACTGAGTGGTGGACAGGAAAATAGAATAGAGTATGAGTTTTGCAGAAATGAGATTGCTTAGATTGATGAGTGGAATGACAAGAGAAAATAGAATAAGGAACAATGAACGAATATATGAGAGGCATTATTGGTGTAGCATCGTTAATGGACAGGATGAGAGAAATACACTTCAATGGTTTGGGCATGTGATGAAGCGAAAGGAAACAAAAGCAGTAAGAGTGGTTATTAAAATTAACGTTGAAGGGAAAAAGGAAGAGAGATCAAAAAAGAGATGGTTGAATACGATTGAGAATGATATGAGGGCTGGTTGGCCTGTACGTAGTAGATGTAGAAAATTGAGATGAGTGGAGATTAAGAACAAGGGTGGTCGACTCCAAATATTTGAAGAAAGGCGAAGGCGAAGGAGAAGAAGAAGAATCGTATTAACAAAGAAATGAGATAAAAAGTTACGGTGTAGTAGTCGCCCTAAACAAATGTTGATATGATATGGTCGATGGAGACAGAATAGCCGTGACAGAGTTGGAATGTTGACACACCTAGAGACAAAGTGTAATGGAAGAAATGGATTTCGGCAGCCAAAAGTTTGTTAAAGATCTGTAACACTAAAAGTTAATTTCTTTCTTTATTGGCTTTTACGGATAATTTAGGTCCATTGCTACAATAATCAATTACCTCCACTCATCTCAATTTTAAGCTAGTTCCTTTCCGTTGTTTTCTCTAAAAAAATTAATAATTATTAATTAATAATAATTAGGTTTATATCATACCGGCTTTTTCCCGAACAATTTACGAAAGACTATGAAAATAATAAACCGTAACTCAGTCAAACGTCTTGAAATGTTATGCTTTCACAGTATACTGAACAAGATCTCAAACTATGACCAGCTATAAATATTTTTAAAGAGACTATTTACGCAACCGGCTTAGCCTCCTTTTAGCTGCTCGGATATGGGAGTGTCGGGGTAAAATTCTTTAGTAATAAGCACAAAAACAATATGGCTATTACCAACTGTCGCATTATCACGAAACCTGAGTTCCAAAACATTAGCACAGA